GCAGAAACAGGCTTATCAAAGATCCGGTGGGCACTTACCGGTTATTTGCTTCTTCAAAACCGAGGATTTCAGGGAAAAGAGAAGCATTGCCAATTTGATAAAACAAACAAACATTCTGACAGGTGAAGATGAAGAGGTGTGCATCCAGAGTGGCTGTGAGCAATGCAAGCCTGTGACAGACACAGGCCAGGATGCTAAGCGCCCACCCCAGGGGAGGTTGCTCCAGGCAGCTGCCCACATGGGCACCTGCTGACTACCCCCTACTCACACAGGCAGCAACCCTAGCCAACCCCACCTCAACCCAACGATCAGACTTGGCATCATCCACCCTGGGCAGGCCGGCCTCTGTGTGTGGGAAGGGCACAGCTCCTCCTGGGCAGAGTTTGTGCCAAAGGTTCAACCCACATCTGATCAAGATGGAACATCAGACAAACCCAGAGTGGACATTCTGCAGGACAACTGACTTGGGTAACACCAAAATATCATTGTCATAAAAGAGGGGACAGATGGGGAACTGTTCCAGATTAAAGGAAACAAAAGACTAAATGCGATTCGTCATCTCCAGGTAGATCCAGAACTAGGAGGAAAAGCCAGCAGGAAAAGACGTTCCCAGGACAAGGGACACATGGATACGGGCTGTCCCACGGCACCAGCGCAGAATGCCTGACGACAGTGACACTGTGGTTATGTGGGAGAATGCCCCAATCGTGGGAAATAACTGCTGAAGTATGTTGGGGTCACTGACACCTGCAAGTCGCTTTCAAATACTGCTGAGGAAAAAAGTCTCTCTGCTGAGAGAGAGAAAGCAGACGCAGCGAAACCCCAGGTGAGGGACACGCACACATGCACCCTACTCTTCCCACTCGCCTGCAGGGTTGGAGTTTTCTAAATCAAAGGCTGGAACCACCTCCCCCTCCCTGCACCCCCATCAGGAGTTCCATTAGTGAGCTCTGCTCTCCCCGTTCCAATGTGCTTCGCGTGCTGCTGTCAAGGGTGCATCCCTACAGGTGCAGAAGAGGAGGAAAGGCTGTCCTGCCTCCACGGAATGCCACCAAGAACCTGCGGCCCACGGAGGGAGGCAGTGGGCTCTGCTCCTCACTCGACAGCTAATTCCCAAGTAGATGACCAGCGGCTCTGGCTGCCTGAGGGGCTGGCCTCCTTGCGAGGGTCTTGGCGAGGCACCTGGGGCCAGACTGTTCCCATCAACCACCTTTCCCATTGATCCCCAGTGCTGAACTCTATAGCTATACAGATGGAAATACAACTAAAGTAATTTTATTTGCTCTAGTGTGGGATTTCTTTTTTTTTTTTTTTAAGAGATAAGGTCTCGCAATGTTGCCCAGGCTGGTCTTGAACTCCTGGGTTCAAGTGATCCTCCCACTTCAGCCTCCCAAAGTGCTGGGATTATAGGTGTGAGCCACCGCACCCATCCCAATGTGAGAATTTGTATTAAAGTACTTACTCGAAATACTTGCTACAGGCCAGGTGTGGTGGCTCACAACTGTAATCCCAGCACTTTGGGAGGCCGAGGGGCGGGGGGGCAGATCACAAGGTCAGGAGTTCGAGACCAGCCTGGCCAATATGGTGAAACCCTGCCTCTACTAAAAATACGAAAATTAGCCGGGCACAGTGGCGGGTGCCTGTAATCCCAGCTACTCCGGAGGCTGAGGCAGGAGAAGCGCTTGAACCCAGGAGGTGGAAGTTGCAGTGAGCCAAGATCATGCTACTGCACTCCAGCCTGGGTGACACAGCAAGACTCTGTCTCAAAAAAAAAAAAAAGAAATACTCACTACACAGCTGAGGCCAGTGTAGATTTCTCCCTAAAGATGCTGAGCACTTTTTTAATCTCATTTCTACTTAACTTGAGTTGAGAAAGCTTCTCTGGGAGCAACTCAAATACCCTGAATGTCTCTTACCTTATGCATTTAATGTGGGTTGATTACATGTGGGTCAAGTACATAGTTAGCACAACCCTGAGATAAATACTGAATGTATATTTACTGGTGTGTTTGTGGCCCCATGAGTGGTAAAATCATGTATTACACTATTTTTAACTTATCATAAACTCATCTGTCACTTAAAAAAAGAAAAACAATGACTCACTCTAAATGTCAGGTCATGTGCAAGGGGTGCAGTGTTGAAATACTCAAAAATGGAATCCTGAAAATCTGGGAGTTTGAGACCTGTAAAAAGAAACAAAGAATAGTCAAGGTAAAAAAAAACTAAAGTCTACATATTATTTTCAGACAGAAAGACTCAACGTCTTCAAGATGTCAATTCTCCTTAAGTAAGTGATACATCTGACATGATCCCAGTTGAAAAAAACACCAGGCGTTCCTCCAGAGATGAACAATAATCAAAAAGTTCACCTGAAAAAGTAACCAAGGGACCGGGCGCAGTGGCTCACACCTGTAATCCCAACACTTTGGGAGGCCGAGGTAGGCAGATCACCTGAGGTCAGGAGTTAAAGACCAGCCTGGCCAACATGGTGAAACCCTATCTCTGCTTAAAATACAAACATTAGCTGCACATGGTGGCATGTGCCTGAAATCCCAGCTACTTGGGAGGCTGAGGCAGGAGAATCTCAGCCAAGATCACGCCACTGTACTCTAGCCTGGGTGACAGAGCAAGACTCTGTCCCAAAAAAAAAAAAAAAAAAAGGCCAGGCGTGGTGGCTCACACCTGTAATCCCGGCACTTTGGGAGGCCGAGGCGGGCATATCATGAGGTCAGGAGATTGAGACCATCCTGGCTAACACGGTGAAACCCCATCTCTACTAAAAATACAAAAAAAAAAAAAAAAAAAAACAAGCCGGGCGAGGTGGCGGGCGCCTGTAGTCCCAGCTACTCGGGAGGCTGAGGCAGAAGAATGGCGTGAGCCCGGGAGGCGGAGGTTGTAGTGAGCCGAGATCGCGCCACTGCACTCTAGCCTGGGCAACAGAGTGAGACTCCACCTGGAAAAAAAAAAAAAAACAAAAAACCCCAAAACCACAGGGGTGGCTGGGCTGGGGGTAGGTGGAGGAGGAGTAGATCTATCAGGTATTAAAGCAGATTCACTAAGGCCTCTACGATAAGAATCATGGCCGGGTGCAGTGGCTCACACCTGTCATCCCAGCACTTTGGGAGGCCAAGGCCAGAGGACTGCTTGAGGCCATGAGTTTGAGACCAGCCTCGGCAACACAGAGACCCCCCATCTCCACAAAAAAATAAGTAAAATTAGCTGGGCATGGTGGTATGTGCCTGTGGTCCCAGCTACTTGGGAGACCGAGATAGGAGGATCACCTGAGCTGGGGAGATTGGGGCTGCACGTGCCCCTGCACTCCAGCCGGGGTGACAGAGTGAGACCCTGTCACACACACACAAAAACACGAATCAAAAAACAAGAATCACATGGTTCTTGCCCATGAACAATGGAACGGGAGAAAATCCAGAAACAGACCCAAGTGCCCATGGTGATCCTATACATGACAACAGTCATACATAAAATCAGCAGGAAAAATAGCTGGTATTAATAACTGCTGCTGGACAACTAGCCAGCCATTAGCAAAAGACAAAACTGGATATACTCCTCAAACTGTATGTCAGAACGCATTTCAAATGGATCAGTATTCTAATTACAAAAATGAGGCTGGGCACGGTGGCTCATGCCTGTAATCCTAGCACTTTGGGAGGCAAGGCAGGCAGATTGCTTGAGTCCAGGAGTTCAAGATCAGCCTGTGAAATACTGCGAAACCCCATCTCCAAAAAAAAAAAAAAAGAAAGAAAACAATAACTAGCCAGGTATGGTGGCACGTGCCCGTAGTCCCAGCTACTCAGGAGGCTGAGGTGGGAGGATCACTTGAGCCCAGAAAGTTGAGGCTGCAGTGAGCCCTGATCGTGCTACTGCACTCCAGCCTGGGCAACAAAGCGAGACCCTGAATCAATCAATCAATCAATCATGAAGCCACACAAGTATAAGAAGCATGGGAAAATCCTTCCAACAACTGGGAGTTAGCTGTATTTTCCTATTTACGACTCAAAAAAGGAAAAAGACTGAAAATTTGACACACAAAAAATTTTGAAAACCACCTTTTTTTTCTTTTCCTTGAGAGACGGAATCCGGCTCTGTCGCCCAGGCTGGAGTGCAGTGGCGAGATCTCAGCTCACTGCAACCTCTGTTTCCCAGGTTCAAGTGATTCTCCTGCCTCAGCCTCCTGAGTAGCTGAGACTATAGGTATGCACCACCACGCCCAGCCAATTTTTGTATTTTTAGTAGAGATGGCAAAACCACTTTTTTTTTTTTTAAAGACAGCGTTTTGCTCTTGTTGCCCAGGCTGGAGTGCAATGGCGCAACTGTGGCTCACCGCAACCTCTGCGTCCCAGGTTCAGGTTCAAATTGAAACAATTCTCCTGCCTCAGCCTCCTGAGTAGCTGGGATTACAGGCATGCACCACCATGCCCAGCTAATTTTGTATTTTTAGAAGAGATGGGGTTTCTCCATATTGGCCAGACTGGTCTCGAACTCCAGACCTCAAGTGATCCACCTACCTCGGCCTCCCAAAGTGTTGGGATTACAGGCATGAGCCACCGTGCCCGGCTGCAAAACCACTTTTATTTGGCAAAAAAATAAATAAATGAATAAGCAAAGACAAAGAGAAACAAGGAAAATACTTGCAACTTACATCACAAACAAAAGGACTAATCCCCATAATGCAAAAGGCTTTTAGAAATCCACCAGACTAATAACCTGAATTTTTAAAAGTGGGCAAACAATAAAAATATATAATGCACAAAATACAAAAGTTCCTCACACACATAAAAAGATGCTCCATCTTACTTATGAGAAACATGCAAGTTAAACCTCTATGGAGATGCTATTTCTCACCTATTCAGAGCAGCAAAAATCCAAAAGTCTGAAATCCTACTTTGTGGGTAGGCTGTGGGGCAGAAACCCCTCATGCAGAGTAGGAGGAGTGTCAGTGCACAGTCTCTGGAGGCCTGTCCGTCAGCACATAGCACGAGTGTACAGGCATGTTTGCCCTTTGCCCTGGCAATCCCACTTCTAGAACTCTATCCCGAAATACACCGACAAAAATAGGAAATGTTCTATCCATTCAGTCACTCCTGGCAGCACTTTCTATGACAGCAAATGCCAGGGAATAACCCATCCCAGCGGCTGGCCAGCCCACGGCAGTGCACAGTGTAGCTGCAGAGGGGGCCAGGGGGCCCCCCCAGCACAAAATGATGCCTTTTATGTAATCAGGGGATGCAAATGTGTGCCTAGATTTGTGTGTATTTGCCATATGTTTTCAAGATGAAAGGAAGGATAGGCTGGGCACGGTGGCTCACACCTGTAATCCCAGCACTTTGGGAGGCTGAGGTGGCTGGATTGCCTGAGGTCAGGAACTGCAGACCAGACCAGCTTGGCCAACATGGCACAATTCCATCTCTACTAAAAACACAAAAATTAGCCAGGGATGGTGGTGGCGTGTGCCTGTAATCCCAGCTACTTGGGAGGCTGAGACGGGAGAAGCGCTTGAACCCAGAATGCAGAGGTTGCAGTGAGCTGAGATCACGCCACTGCATTCCAGCCTGGGTGACAGAGCAAGACTGTTTCACACACAAAAAAAGGAAGGATAAACCAAAAACAATGGCTAGCTTTGGGGAAAATATCTTTGAAGATGCTATTTGAAAATGTTGATTTTGGAATTCTGTAGGTACTTTACGTAACTAAAGTAACTATTAAGTCAAAAAGAAAATAAAACCACTCATTTGAAAAATATTTATATTCAAATAATGCAGAACTGCCTGATGTTAGTTTACCAGTATCTGCTCTGAATTTTTCTTCCATCTTTTTCTTCAAAATTTCCATTTCTTCTAATAATTCTCTGTTTTTGGCTTCAGAGTCCTTTAGTTTGCTAAAATAAAAAATAAATCGCTTTAAGTGCACTGAGAAGAGGTTGTCTATGAGGCGGTCTGGGGCAGGGCAGGATGAGAGGGCCGGGGTGTCTCCCCAGCACCGGGGACTGTTCAGAACACGGCAGCTCATGCTGGGCCTTTCTACTGCACACACTACAAACAGTATGAATATTTCAAACATAAACATTCAGGCAGGAATTTAAAAAGTCATGGCTGAGGAAGGTGTGTCTCATGATGGCCTAACGGAGCTCTGACCTTCCTAATCTCCTTGCCAGGCGAGTCCTCTGTTCTCCAGGGACACAGGGCCCAGGCCGCTCAGCCATCAGCCCCGCCAGTATCTTTCCCATAACTGGCAAGATGGTGGCTGCACCAAGAAGCACCAGCACCAGCCGCACCGGCAGCCTTGCAGTTCCAGCAACTTCATGGAGGGGACAGAGAAAGTCAGGCTGCCACGGGGAACAGCTGGCCAGGAGGGACGCAGTTTGTGGGGGGCGGGGGGGCGTTCCACTTATCAGTGGGGTGACAGTGGGCAAATCACCTGCAGAGTGCGTAAGCAGGAGTAACAAGAGCGCCTGCCCTGTTGGGCTGTGGGAAGGTCACAGGATTTAACAGAACAGTCTTACAGCAGTTCCCGGTACAAAGGAAGTCAATTTAACTGAAACCTATTACCATTAATTCTTTTAGCCCCAAACTAACAGGATTTGGGACTCAGTAATTCTGTTAAAGACACTGTCCCTTCTAGGTCCTCGTCCGCCTCATGGCACAGCACAGCTGGCCTGGTTTTTATGAAACTGACTTTCATTGTCGTATCCTTATAAAACAGGATCTGCAAAGAGGAAACTCTCAGCTAATACCGACTGAATTTACTGCTGTGTGAAAATGGCATTCTCGTTACTGCTTGGAGTTAGAGAAAAATTTCAAGTGAGAATGCCATCTTCAACCTGTTTTAAAATATTTGCGTTAGCTTGAAAGGAACAATCCTGAGTTAGTGAATGGAGCGGCATGGAGGTGACTAAGCAGTGAGAGGGGCTCCTGTCAGACAGTGGTATGAGTCTCACTACCCAGCGTGGGGGCACAAGCACCCGCTGCTGTCAAAACACGGCTTGCACCGCACTGCACACCCCCGCGGCAGGCGAGGCCCTGCACCCTTGTGGCCACCTCCTCCGTGCCAGAACGGCCTGCTATTCAGGGCTCCTGCAGGTAAACCCGACTCGCTGCTTCCTAAGGTGCCAGTAAACCCCGTGGCCCCGATTTTCCAGGTGAGGAGCATCAGAGCCCACAAGGCTCAGGGCTGGCTGAAGGCCACACAGCCCCCGCTCCTACTCAGAGTTAGACCCCAGCACCAAGTACCTTTCCAAGGTGAGGTTGGCATCCTTGACCTTCCTCAGCTCCTCCTGGACAAGCTGCTTGGCCCGGATCTCCGCCTCCAGGGCCGACTGCAGCTCCAGCCGCGCGGACATGTCCAGCTTCTGGCTGCGGCGCACCTTCCACAGTGGATCCTTGCGACATGGTTACGGTGTTAAAAATGCACTTTCAGTTATCTACTTGTTAAACTAATGTTAACAAATAAGTTATCTTTGTCTAACCTTAAGCCATTACTGTCTCACTTAGGTATTAACTCTAAATTATTGAGGTGCCTCAGGAGTTTCAGTTTTGATATTTTATGACTTTTACTCTTCCTTAGAAATCTTGTAAAAAAGAACATTTACTTTATCTTTGAGAAGAATAAAAGTAATTCTGTGGTACAACCTCTTTTTTTTTTTTTTTAGATGGAGTTTTGCTCTTGTTGCCCAGGCTGGAGTGCAATGGCGTGATCTCGACTCACTGCAACCTCCGCCTCCAAAATTCAAGCAATTTTCCTGTCTCAGCCTCCCCAGTAGCTGGGATTACAGGTGCACGCCACCACGCCTGGCTAATTTTTGTATTTTTAGTAGAGACAGGGCTTCACCATGCTGGCCAGGCTAGTCTCAAACTCCTGACCTCGTGATCCACCCACCTTGGCCTCCCAAAGTGCTGGGATTACAGGCGTGAGCCGCTGAGCCTGGCCTCTGTAGTGCAATTTGTATTTGGGTCCACTGAACCCTGGACCTTTTACAAACCTAAGGTACATTATAGGGTTCGGTTATCTTTTTCTCATAACTTGAAACATTTTGCGATTTCACCGTCCTGGGAATTATGTCATTACTCATTCCTACCTGTGATTAAAAAAAAAAAAAAAGACTAAAATAATAAGGGAAGAATGACGGAGTGACCTAGGATGAAGCAACAGTGGAATATGCCAGTTCACTAACATCACCCTTCTGTTTTCTTACTGAGTTGCCCAATGTATGATATCAACTTTCAGGAGGTATAAAAGAAGTCTAGAGACGCCATCTTGCTGATTTTTCTTTTTTTAAACCAAAAACCTTCATTGAACACAACTGAGAATTCTTCATTTTCCATCTACAATGGTAAAGAGAAGAAAATGGACAGAGGAACGCCAGGTGTGGTGGCTCACACCTGTAATCCCAGCACTTTGGGAGGCTGAAGCGGGCAGATCACCTAAGGTCAGGAGTTTGAGACCAGCCTGGCAAACGTGGCAAAACCCTATCTCTACTAAAATACAAAAATTAGCCCGGTGTAGCGATGCACACCTGTAATCCCAGCTACTTGGGGGGCTGAGGCAGGAGAATCACTTGAACCCAGGAGGTGGAGGTTGCAGTGAGCCGAGATCACACCACTGCACTC